TATCTGCTCACATTTTATCTTACAATTCTATCAGATAGTTTTCTTTTCATCACACAAAATTGAATTTTCCATGCATAATCTATACAAAATCTGACAATTTTGCACAACCTGTAGCGGGAAAAAAAGTCCGGTGAACCATACTTTTTATTATATTTTTAAAAAAAGCATTTCAAAAACTTCATTTTGACAAATTATTAAAAAATGCTGTAAATTTTTAATAATACGCCCTAGCCACCTAAATATTACACTGATGCATTAAAAAAATTTGTTGTAAAAATGTATATTCTATAAGCTGTATTGCTTCTGAATAAAGTATTATTATTACTATTCAAAAGATTATGCAATATAGTGCTAAATCATAAATTGAACTCGATACTTTTTCTTTAATCTTTGTGGTTTATTATAAATACAAAAAGTACAACAAAGCGTTATTTCATATATTAAAAACCCTATACCAGCGATTAGTTAAAGGTATCTGTTTGTGCAAAATATAGCTCACGTTCCTAACTATATCCATGTGTAGTAAAATTCACCTAACATAGTTAATTATCGAATCACTTGAAATCTATGGTATCATGCAAAAGTGCAAAATAATTCCAAATTTACAAATTTACAAATTTTGTCACTCATTCTTATCTCTCCTTACTAAATAAAAATGAGAATGTAAATGGGGAATTGGTCAAAGAGACAACAACCCGACCATAGAGCAGACAACAGCCGAAGGCCACCAATGGGTCTTCAATGCAGCGAGAAACTCCCGCAGCCGGAGGCGTCCTTCAGCTGGCTCCTAAACAAATATGTATACTAGTTCAGTGATAATGGACGTCATACTAAACTCCAAATTATACACAAGAAACTAAAATTAAAAATGATACAAGACTAACAAAGGCCAGAGGCTCCTGACTTGGGCCAGGCGCAAAAATGCGGCGGGGTTAAACATGTTTTTTGAGATCTCAACCCTCCCCTATACCTCTAGCCAATGTAGAAAAAACAAACGTACAACAGTACGCACAGTAAAACTCAGTTTAAGAGAAGTCCGAGTCCGATGTCAGAATAGGAAACAAAAGAAAATAAACAAAATGACAATAATACATAAATAACAACAGACTACTAGCAGTTACTGACATTCCAGCTCCAGACCTCAATTAAACTGATTGAAAGATTATGTCTTTATCATATGAATATCAGGCACAATCCCTCCTGTTAGGGGTTTAGTATTATACCATTATAAAATATATGAGAAGAACATAACCCGTGTCATGCCAACAACTGGGTTTAGAATAAATATGTTTAATTCCGATGCAAAGACCCTATAAGTGAATCAATATTAAAGCCAAAATATGCAATCTTTAATGACCTGACAACAGCATCAAAACTATATCCCTTCTTAATAAGTTTGTTTAAAGGTTTTGTTAGCTTTTGAGGTGAATACTGACATTTTTGTGCTTTGTAAAGAATATTACCATAAAAGATTGGATGTGAAATACCCGAACGTATAAGATGTCTGCATGTTGAGTTATATTTACGAATGATGTCCTTATACCGATGATTAAATTTAGTAAATGTTTTGACTAGTTTATGATATCGAAAACCCTGGTGTAATAATTTTTCAGTAATACATAAATTTCTCTCGCTAAAATCTAATACGTTGTTACATACACGAGCGATTCGTACAAGTTGAGATATATAAACACCATAAGATGGTGACAAGGGAACTTCGCCATCTAAAAATGGATAATTAACGATAGGAAATGAAAAATCATCTCTTTTACCATAAATTTTTGTATTAAGCTTCCCGTTAATGATATAGATATCAAGATCGAGGAAAGGACAGTAGTCATTGTTACTATTAGCTTTATTTAAAGTAAATTCAACAGGATAAATTTCTATAGTATACATAGTGAAGTCGTCATTATTGAGAGCCAATATATCATCCAAATATCTAAAAGTATTGTTAAATTTTTGTATCAGATGTTGTTTCGATGGGTCTTTGCTGATTTTAGTTATAAATTGTAACTCATAACAATACAAAAACAGGTCCACAATAAGTGGTGCACAGTTAGTCCCCATTGGAATTCCGATAACTTGACGATATACGGAATCTCCAAAGCGAAGAAAAATGTTATCAAGTAAAAATTCAAGGGCCGATATAGTATCAAAGCATGTCCAATTGACATAGCTCTTTTGTTTGTTGCTACAAAAAAATGACCTATAAGAGTTTGAACATATGTATTCGCATTCCGATTTTTTAAATGCCCATTTAATTAGGTGTGTGATTTTTTTCTTAGTAAGAATATGAGGCAAAGTGGTATATAGGGTAGAAAAATCCAAACTTTGAACATATTCAAAATCACCAATAAATGGATGCAATTTGTCAAGTACTTCCAACGAGTTTTTGACACTCCAAAAGTAGTTAATTCCACTATTTTTAAAGGCCTTATTTGAACAATTTATTATCAGGTTTTTGATTGTACCAAGTGTACTAGTAAGTAGAATAGACAATTTAGTAGTGGAACAATGACTTGAAGACGAAATAAATCTATATTTGTAAGGTGATTTGTGTAGCTTCGGAAGCCAGTACATAGTTGGGACTTTCATTGTATTTGGTTCTGCTTGTAAAGAAGTAGCTAATAGTTTATGTTTGTTACAGATATCGTTTTCTGAAAATGAAGTCAGTTGAAATGTTGGCGAATTCGTGATTTCCTCTTGCAGAACCTCAATGTAAAATTTACGTCAAACTATAATGATATTATTAGCAGCTTTATCAGCCGGGACAAAAAACAAATTCCTTGGCTAGTTCTTTTAGTTTATGTTTTATACGAGAAATCGGATTTTTATGGTTGTTGTTGAGAGTAAAATGTTCTTTAAAATGTTGTATACTTATATCAACTATCTTCTTTACTGAATTAAAAAAAGAGTCCAACGATTTTTTGTCAGCTTTTTCCCGTTTTATCCATTTCAAACAGTAAGCACGAAGTGAGTCGTGGATGAAATTACGACACTCATTCCAATTAATAATTGACGGGGGACGATATTTAGGTCCTTTACTGAGGAATGATTTTAACTCTCGGTCGCGAACGATGTTAAGGTCTCCTGTTATAACATGGGAAATGGGGCCATAAGTGTATTCGGAATTACTACAATTACATGACGTAGGTGCATTTTCACTGATATTTACATCTTTACAGACTTGGCTATAGTTAAACACAAATTTTCGGGTAGATTTCTTGTAAATATAATAAATAAGAGGGAGTTCAGTATTATCAAAATATCCAGGAATTTGTTCTTTAACAGAATGGTCGTTACAAATACCGGCAATAAAACATTGGAGAACTGGATGTTAATAATATATCTTTGATTGATTCTGTGAAATTTATTTACAAATGTTATGGACTCAGAACTATTTAGAGCCTGATATATTTTGTAGACACATTTCTGTTGTTGAAGACTTATGTTGCCCTTTGTTTTTGTTTCTTTATTTTCTGTCGTTTCGTTGCCGTGTAATGGACGTATATCCCATATATCCACTTTTTCATATTAAGGTGACTCTTAGTGTTTGTGTGATTTTGTGCAAGAGAGGTCAGATATGCTTACAATGACCTACATTTTGAACATGCTTTCAATCAGTTATATCTGATTTCTTTTATCTACTCTAAAACCAAGAAAGACTGTAGAATGACATTGAGATTTAATATTATTGAATTTGTATCGTTTATTCACGTCTTTGGCCAAATGTCGAAAATCTATAAAATTTTGTATGCTACCACATTTGTACAAAGACGAGCAAAGGTTTTATTATTTCTGCAATAGTGATATAGCCGAATAAGTACCTAGCACGAACACTAATTACAACATCATAACTGAATTTGTCATGGGAATTTTCCAGCAGTTTACTTCATTCGCCATGAACTTTGATCATTTCACATCTCATAAAAGGAAATAGGTTAAGCATTATATTGATATATAAATTAAGTCTGTTTATTTTTTTCTATACATATACATGTATCATCAAATCATACAATAGTCTCAAATAAAAGTACTATAACGAGTAAAAATAGATTATGTCTACGTGTAATTTCGACACATTATAATGGGACATACTGTAATTCCAGGTCTTGTGATGGAGTATGTCAATAATTATTAATTTATAATGACAATATCAAGAAAAATAATACTAAACTACAGTTACTTCTACTAATATAATAAAAGTAATAATGATATTTACCAGCAAATACGTCTTCCAAAACTTTTGGCATTTTACGTAAGATATAGAGATTGATGGTCTTATATAGCCATTTTGAAAGAAAAGTTTTGCGAGTGAAGCTACGTTCTATAAAATCAATTTATTAGATTGTGAATTAAAAATTAAAAAAACTAAAAACAAATAAGGCAACTTGAATTTCATTTGTTCCCTATAACGAACGCTTGGTCCGAATATGACAGACGTTCTACGCATTGCAATAGGAAAATGTTTATTTTGATAATGCACACAACCATTAAATATTTATTTGTTTGTGTTTTTCCTTAATGATATGACCCAATTAAGTAGCTCTACCACTAATCTCAACAGGAAAAGGAAAAACATATACTTTTCTTATGATAAAAAAAAGGCATTTTAAACTTGATAGAAATAGATGTAGAACTTTGACAGAAAAGTTTGCGAGTGAAGCTTTAAAATCAATTTATTAGCTTGTGAATAAAAAATAAAAAGAAAATAAAAACAAATAAGGCAACTTGATTTTCATTTGTTCCCTATAACGAACGGCTATTCATAAACAATCCCTTTCATACTTTTGAAAAACATGTTTCGTTTATTATGTATATCAAACGCCAAATAAAAAAACGGAAAACAAACATGAGTGGATTCTCTTTTAACAATGTAATAAGCCAATGAGGAAAAAATAGTTGAAGTAATTCGTTATTAAAATCGTCATTGTTCGGTACTTATATGCAGGTGGTTCTCCAAATAAATAATCATCTAAACATATTCAAAACAATAATAATGGAGAAACGTTATAGGTTTATTGCGAAAAACGTTGTATTTCTTATCTTTGCCTATGTTGATACGTTAAATTGTACACCACTGAAGTCAACAGATCCAAATGTTTGTCCTAGGAGAGTAACCATAAGGTAAGTAAGGGATAAAAGAACTACTATTTAGCAAAAAACAGATGGTGAATACATGTATCAAAGGGACAAACAAATGAAGTCAAAGAGGGACCGTCGAACCCATGGAAAAAAGATAAACGACGATAAGACAAACAATAGAGCTTTATTAAAAATATCATTCGACTAGAGTGTTTCGTTCAGTTAAAAAAACACGTTCACATGTTTTCTGGAATGAAATCGAAAAACAGTATAAAAGTTTATAATTTGGTATGACCGGAAAAGTAGTTGGACAAGGAAAATAACGAAGTTAAATTGAACATTTTATTATCCGTCAGGATGGAGCCCTCAGGAATCATCTGTTATATTTTACACTGGTAAAGATCGTTAAAATTCTATAAATGTGTGCTTTTAATAACGTGTTTTTCCCTTGCAAAAGCTTGCAAAGGATTAATCTTACTCAGTCAGGCCAGACATGGCTGGTTATTTATCTTCATACAGGTTAAAAGCTTGCAATGGATTTATCTTACTCAGTCAGGCCAGACATGGCTGGTTATTTATCTTCATATACAGGTAAAAAAAATTCATGAACAGCAAATCTAATTACCATACGAAAAAAATTTCAGATTGTAGATATATTCCACAATCCTAAATTTCGGCGTCGGTTATAGAATTAAATATGTTTTGTAACTGTTTTGTTATAATGATTTTTTTTTTATCATTTTAGTAGTCATTCTGTAAACCAAACACAGTGGATAATAGAGTGCTGTCCGGATTTTTTTAACCAGAATGGGAAATGTCAAGGTATTTTTGTTTAGACTAAAAGAGTGTTTTATTGTGCATTAGATATTTTACATCTTTTTAAATTTACATGTTCAAAGTTTAAATATAGAAATGTATTTGCAAATATTGGCAATTTTTGAAAAAAAAAGTCTCTCAGAACTTTTATTAATTTAGCAAAGGAGTGAGTGCATTATAATGCGAAACAATCTGCTGCTTGATCTACTTGTGATAAATATAAACTGTCATGTAAATTAAGGAACGTGAGACACAATTGAAAAAATACAATCGTTGATTTCGTTTTCATCAAATTCTTTGCGTAAATTAAAACACTAATTTGTGGTTTGTGTGCTGTGGTAATTTTTTGCCTTTCATGTTTGTTTCTGTGCTTTGTCTATATGTCATTTTGTTTTCTTTATTCACATATTGATTCGTTTTTTATAGTGATTAGGAGTATAACACAATATTGACTGCTGTACCCTTATTTTTGACATTTTTACCTATTATGTCTGTTCGTTTTGTACACACATTATTGTCAATATAATAGAATTGTATGCGACTATCATACAAATAGAGGTTTAGCTAGCTATTACATCAGGTTTTATCCACCATTTTCTACATAAGGAAATGCCTGTATCAATTCAGGAATATGAAAGTTATTGTCCATTCATTTGATGTGGTGGAGCTTTTGAATTTGACATTTGAATTTTCATTGGAGATCGGTATTTTTGTTATTTTACTGTTTGTATACTTAATTATCTAAAAAGTATATTTCAAAGCTATTTGTTTATTCCTCATATTATTCTATTTTATTTCTTTATTTCGTTTGTACGTTAAGAGTTTGTTACGCTTTCCATCTGAATATATTAAATGTTAATACATTTTAAAATCTGAATTTTTCAGCATGTCCAGCAGGAAAATATGGGAAAGATTGTTCGCTGTCATGTATGCCTAATTACTACGGTGTGCAGTGCAAAACACAATGTAACTGTACAGATAATAAAAAATGTGACCCAATTCATGGTTGTGTTTGTAAGACAGGGTTTACCGGTTCAGAATGCTCAAATGGTAGGTAAATAATTTTTATTATTGACTAATATTTGCTTGACTATCATAGCTCTATTAGTCAGATTTGTCACGTACTGTATAAAGATAACTATACAACCAACCAACAGTTTTATGATGTAACAGTTGTTAAATATATGCATGAACTTCTATTTATGTGTATAATGGAATTATTCTAAATGCATACTTTATATTGAATTGCTTTTTGTACAAGTCATATATGTGTTTAGCATCCTTAGTTATATTAAATCGAGTAAAATATTTCCTGTACTCACTGTTTGTTTAAGAGTTGAAGTTAAATAACCTTTAGTGTGATATATTCTGTGATGATAGTTTCCAGAGTGCTTTTGTTTATGTCACTAGATAAATATAAGAAGATGTGGTATGAGTGGCAATGGGACAACTCTCCATCCAAGTCACAATTTGTCAAAGTAAACCATTATAGGTCAAAGTACAGCCTTCAACACGGAGCCTTGGCTCACACCTAACAGCAAGCTATAAAGGGTCCCAAAATGACTAGTGTAAAACCATTCAAACAAGAAAACCAACGGTCTAATCTATATATAAATCGAGAAACGAGAAACACTCATGAACCACATCAACAAACGACAACCACTGAACATCAGGTTCTTGACTTAGTCATTATCAAAAATGTTATTTGTTCCAATTGAAGCGTGTACATCCGGAACATACGGTGTGAACTGCAGTAAGAAATGTCTCTGTGAACATAATGCTGAATGTTATCCAGTAACTGGTGATTGTTTATGTTCTGCAGGATGGTTTGGAGATCACTGCACAAAAGGTAAATAATGATCGGTGTATTTCCGTTTCCTATAAAGGCAACGGTGGTATACCGCTGTTCAAAAGTCATAAATGGATTAAGAAAAAAAAAAATCCGGGTAACAAAATAAAACCGCGGGAAACACATCAACTAAAATAGGAAAACAACGGAATAACAGAAACTGCAACAAAAACAAACGCCAATAATATTCTATGCACATCAGTAGGATTTACACGAGATAGAACGATAAAATTTAATTGAAACATTGCATTTTTTAGATTTAGTAAATCTATTGACATTTCAAAACTTTTTTTTTTATAGTAATCGAGGTCCTTATCAACATTCCTGAATGAAATGCTATATCTTACCTATTATATGATGAAAATTAGAAAGATAAAACGAAATCACTATTTAGTATTTGTCAATTAACACAAAATAAGTAATAACTTTGGACTGGAATTACAGACGATATTTTATTCATTGCTTAAGTAACCCTTTAATTTACCCAACAACATGTACATTATTACGCATCAAACCAACTTATTATATAAAATGGTGTCAGTCCACCAATTCAAAATCCTTATCTATTCAAACAGCTTTCTTGATATTTTACCTTAAGTTTAACTTCATAGAAACCAGGAATATCTTGAATTGAACATGTATCACCTTTCTACATGCCAATTTATAACCCATGTTCAGAGTCTTGTAAGAAAGAACTGCCTTTCAGAAGCCAAGTAATACTAAAAATAACCCCTGGTTTTCTGTAAATCTTAAATACGTATACTATGGAGCGCATTAATCCTCAATTTTAAATGTAAATTCATAGACAAGTAAATGTTGGATCAAAATGATCTAAATATATTTCTCTTTCACCAGAAGTTTCATTTCTGCAAATTTGTTGTTTGGTTTAAGTAAACGATGACATCAAAAGTACTATTAGTTGTCAGAGTAGGGCTACTTTTACAAACGTTCTTAATTGGAGTTGGTAAATTGGTTGTCTGACAACTATATCTACCTCACAGTGAACTAGTCATATATGTGTATACGCATCCGTATTGGTATTGCTAAAATTCGATTTAACACCCTTTTTATACTCTCTGTGAATCTTAGGTGCATAACCTCTTTTCTGGTATATTCTTTAGTGGTTGTGCATTGTGTAGTAAAGATTTTAAAACAATATAGTTTATTTATATTGAAGCGTGTCAATCAGGAAGATACGGAGTGAACTGCAGTGAGGAATGTTTTTGTGCACACGATGTTGAGTGTGATCCGGCAACTGGTGACTGTTTTTGTCCTGCAGGAAGATTTGGGCCTCACTGCACAAAGGGTAAATAATAATTTTGTGTGTTTTTTCATTTTCATTTAACTGTTTTGTACATTGCAGAATTGTAGATTGACCCGCGAAGCAATGTTTGACATGAACTTAAAAAAAAATATCGATATGTATCAAAGGTATGACCGTAATATTTTTTTCTGTCTATGAAGATATAAAATCAAAAATGTGGTGCACACTGAAAACCCGCGTAGCAGTTTATCTAAATTTTTATGTTATTTCGAATATACAGAACAAATATTACAGATATTCCTTATAATTTAATTCTAAATTCAATATTTAGGGAGTAAATCATGAAAAAAACAACGTTGATGACGTCACGGTCACATGACAAAATTATGTCTTTAAGTTGATAGACAAAAAACTGTCAGCCAATCAGAAGACATGTTACATCCAACATTAAATTATAAATAAATATCCATAACAGCAACATCAGTCTGTAATCTCGGATTATAATACAATATTTCTTAGAGAAATCTTTATACATACCAACCTTAAAGCCAAATTAAAAAAATATTACCGCATCATGATCTATTGCAGAATGTCCAATCGGAAAATTTGGAAAGAATTGTAGTGAGATTTGTGCCTGCTCAGATGTAGAACAGTGTGATGTTCTAACTGGAGAGTGCATTCAGTGCAACCCCGAATCTGATAAAGGAGAATGCAATTCACATAAAGGTATTTCTATATATTAAAGCCATCCAAAGGTCTTTAAATTTCTAAAGAAGATAAAAAGTTACAAAAGGTTCAAATAAAATGCATGATTAGACGAATAAAAGACAGCAGGAATTACAGAAGTAAAGAAGACAAAAAAAATGTAAACAACGCTTTATAAATGCGAATCGTCTGAAACGCATTTCTGGATTAATGAAAACTAAGTTTTCTAGGACAAAATATTTTCAAGAATATGAGCGATGGATCCCAGACAAACACTTTAACGTTTACGCTTTGCTCTTTGTCATGCATAACTCTAGACTGAAACCATTTGGATTTGAAGTTGTAGATTTGATAAAGAAAGTTTTTGACAACGTTTATGATGGTATTTGGTTCATTAAATGAAACACTGTAAAACAAAACACTTTCGTTTAACAGTCAACAATGTTATAATAACCAACTCAATAGCCACCAACCAAATAGAATATTAAAAATTACGTTGATCATCATCTGGGTACCATATCATTTCCTCCACAGAATGTCATGAAAAGTAGGAAGACGTTTGCACAAAACAAATATTTCAAAAAATAATTGAGATCCTTTTTAATAAACAATGATTATCAGTTTACGACAAGCAAATTGGTAAAGGACAACTTAATTGCGAGGTAACATAGTAATTGGCACAAATGTATTAGCTAAATATTAGTTTTTCTTTTTTTTTCTTTTGGGGGGAGGGGGTGCAAAATTAAGATTTGCAAATAAACAACTATAACTAATAACATTTGTTTTATTAACCACTTTGATTATTGGTAACTGATACAAATTCTGATGTTTCAGTTGAGGTAAACAATCTGAATTCAGGACAAAACAGTTATAAATCGAAAGATACCGTAATAGTTTACATACTGATGGTTGCTGCTCTTATTGGTCTGGTCTGTGTTGTAACAATGGTCGTGAAAGTTAAAGAAAGACTATGTCGTCAGGTACAAAAACCAAAACAAGACACTTCAAAACCAAGGTTGAAACGCCGGAAGGCTAAACGAAGGCGATCGCTAACCCAAACACAGAACGCACAGACTGGATTGTATATTGTAGACACTGATATGATCATGTTTCAACCTGAAATCGAAGAAGATTTATATTGTGAAATCGAAGATATCAATGAAGTAGAATCAGATCGAAATTAATGGCCAATACGAGTACAAACGTCAGTCTAAATATTTCTACAGAGCAAATGAATACAGGATCGACCAAATTTATTTCTGAAATCAATAGTTAACTTCTATAATTAGTTACAGTTTTCCTCATTATTGGATGCATTGACTTTCAAACAAACTATTGTGCTAGTAGAGAACTTACAATAACTGTCGTATTTGACAAATAATAAGAATCCATTTTACATTATGGACAATCACCAAATAACGTAGACGCTAATTTAAAAAAACATTTTCAATTTCTTTGTCGGATTGGAATCGTTAGTGTTCAAAATATTTGCATATTTTCTGATACAAAAATCGAGTCTTTTTACATAAGGGAATGTTTATTCGGGGAATTTGAAATCGTTATTCCATAGATGTGTACACACAATTTTTTAGCACTTCACAACATTCTTAAGAATAAAACCTGCAACCATATATTTTAACTCGTCTTATCAGATAACGTTTTGTCGAAAACACTTTAAAAAAAGAAATATTAGCACATTCCGTTTTAGGTTAAAGTGTCGTGTTACAACTGAATTTTGTTAGAAAGATTCACAAGTGATTGGAACAAATTTTTGTTCAAGCCAGGTTTTTTGTATGCTATCTTTATTCGTTTTTTCATTCAAATGGTTTCTAAAACCCGTAAGGGTTCAGAACATTCTTTATCTAATACTGCATTTTCCTGATCGCATGACCAGGTGTTATATGTAAAGAATATAAATCGATTTCAGTCATTTTTTCAGAACGCATTATTGCTCATAAAAATAGATTTGTATCCCAATCATCATAAATTTAAATAATCAACCTTTAGAAGTAGTTTCAATAGTTATTTTTGTCATTCTTTCATCTTGTTTAATAAACAATTAGAATATTGCCACGTTTGACGATAAGAAGAAGACGAAATGCTGTAAAACAATTGTTTTATTTAAACATCAAGGTTTGCATTCAAGAATTTATATGAATGACAGATTTGAAAGCAAACAATTTAAACTGAAGCAATTTGATAATAACAGTATGTGCTAAAAGTATGATTAATAAAGGAACGAAACAAGTAAAGCGAGTATCCAATACATGATCAAACAAACAGCTTAAACGCATGTTTAAGGTGATAGGTTATCTTTTTTATTTGAACTGACAAGGCTTATGTAGACAAAAAGCGTTTGGTATATCAAAATATAAATCTGGTATCTTTGACAAGTTTTTGTTCGGAGCATAGTCTTTAGTTGGATTTCGACTAAAAAGTTTGAATATCCCTTTAATATCTTTCGCTTCTTTGATAATACCAAACCGTCAACAAGGGTCCTTCTTTTGAAGTATTGACCAATTGTTAATTCCTGGCTTTTCTAAACATAAAACACTGAACAGAAATCTGAAGATATGAAACCCTATACAATAAAGACTTTGACAAATGCAGAGAGATGGGCTAAATGCAAATGATTAAAAGAAGGCATGTTCTTTACATTTAAAATGATATACTGTACTGTTACATCACTGACCCAGGTTAGGGGGAGAGTTGGCGCGCCTGCAAACTAGTTTAACCCCCCCCCCCACATTCTGTATGTGCCTTTCCGAAGAGTGGAGCCTGTAATTCAGTGGTTGTCGTTTGTTGCTGTATATCATATTTGTTTTTTGTTCATTATTTTGTTCATAAATTAGGCCGTTAGGTTTCACGTTTGAATTGTTTTACATTTGTCATTTCGGGGCCTTTAATAACTGACTATGCGATCTGGATTTTACTCATTGTTGAAGGCCGTACGGTGACCTATAGTTGTTAATATCTGTGTCATTTGGTCTCATGTGGAGAGTTATCTCATTGGCTATCATAGCACATCTTCTTATTTTTTTATAGACAAAACCTTTAGTATTCCGGGCAGTATAGGTCTACACGTCGATGCAATATATCCACGCTGTCATCTTTTATCAGACAAAAGATAAACAGAAAGCTTGAACTTCAACTTAACTTCAATTGCAAATTTACAGATTTTTTTTATTTAATAGCGAGTCTTCATTCAACATGTAATAATTTTATGCCATAATTTGTGTTTGCGGTAGCTTTGTAAATGCCAGAAAAACGATTTATCAGTTTATACCAAGAATGATTGATAAACAATGTAATGTCTTATTAATATTTTGAGATGTACACATTTATTTTCAGAAAATGTTGTTGACATTGATTATGAATAAAACAGTATTAACGTTTTAATATTATGTTTAACTTAATAATAACCAGTGTATACATGTAGTACAATTACTTTTCAATCAGTTGTAACTTCAAGTTTTCAAAATAAGATTAAAAAGACAAAAGAAGTAACCGATTTCAAAACCAGGTTAATGAACCAGAGCTATGTATAAGGGAGATACATTACTTGATTTCAAAAAGTTTTATAACATCTTATTCAATAAAGCAATGTACGTATTGTCATGCGAGTACCGAAGTACTGAGTTACTTGGTTGGTAATACCCTCGTGTACTAAATGTCCACCGGCAACATCAGCTTAAGAACAAAAAACAACAACAAAAAAACATTAACGTTATACAGTTCTGTCAGTACGGTTTTTTGCAATATCAACACAGTTCACAGCGGAACTTATTTTCAATTTTCCGGAAATAATAAGTGGATTTTAGTCATTTTCACAAAATTGTATGTAAGGAAACGGGAAATGTGTTCCAATTTTTTTGTAGAAAAAAAATATCTGTAAATCAAAATGTAATGAAAAATAATCATACGGCCTTTGTCCTGTTTTTAGGAACAAATTGTGACCGCAAAATGTCATTTTAGTGCTTTTGTGTTGTTGTCCACTGTTTAAGAGAATTTACTGTGTCTTCAGCAATTCACGAAGACACCTGTTTGAAAGCCAATAATTTATACACACAAACATTTTAACGTTTTAACATAAATGCTAGTTAAAGATAATGGCTATTTATTGAATATATTATTCTATCAAACTAATTCATTTGATTTACATTCCAACTATCAACATTTCCGAACAGACGCCATAGATGACTTGTATATTACTATAATAAACAATAAGCACATTTGGTTTGGCTATAATATTGTCTTAGCAATATTTCATGTAAATTCAAGCAACAAGAATACAATAAAATCTTGTCGACGATCCAAAGCTAATAAACTGAAGGCTGGTCGAGTAAGCACTATTCCACAAGTATCATATGGGCTTTCTATAGTCTACATAAATAAAGGCAACTGTAGTATACCGCTGTTCAAGTACAGTTCGACAAAAATCATTAGGACTATAAGTAAGGAATGATAGTCCGTCACAAAATGTACCTATGACAGTATAAGCCATATCAAAACCTTTTTTTGAGCAATTTTAACTGCATTTCAAACAATCAGCATGATAAGACCAATTAAAGATATTGTGCATTTATCATTGTTACAGCAACCAAATTAAAATAAAAACAAACTGTATTTGCATTTTGTTTTTGAGTGGCAACATGAACTTTGTTTGCTGGTAGATTAGTATGATTACAGGTCATTAGGAGTAAATACTAAACGATGTGGTTGCTCTTAAATGTTTCTAAAAAGTAAAATAACAAAAAACCGAACTCCGATGAAAATTCTTAACGGAAAGTCCCTAATTATAACTTTATTTGATAAAAACAACATTATTTTCGATAAATGCATGATGTACTCTGTCATCAGAATATAAGGATGGATGGCGGTCGTCAAAAATCTGGAAGCTGAATAAAAAGTAAAATAACAAAAACACTCCAAGGAAAATTCAAAACGGAAAGTCCTTTATCAATTGACAAAATCAAAAGCTAAAACACATCAAACAAATGGAAAACAACTGTCATATTCCTGACTTGGTACAGTTTATGATGATTATGATGGATTAAACCTCTCACTTGTATGACAGTCGCATAGAATTGCAAAAAAATGATGACCATGTCAAGGATCAGCCGAGAGTAAACTCTGTTAGAACCGGAAACTACAACTCAGAGAACAATTGTCAGCAAATAACAGAAGAAAACCATAAACATATTTACATCGTTAAATCCCTTCCGAATTTGTGCATGTATGAAGACCAGTATCTCAATCCTTACTGTTCTCTTCTACATGTAGATAATGACTATCGTAACCCATACTGCGCACTGGGGTTGGGAAGACGCGTTAGCAGTTGCTCAAATCTGTTTACTCTTACAGACACTGTTGACGTCGCACATTGAAAGTATTCAAATATCGTTGTAATTAAAAATGTTTTAAAATGAAATGATATTGCTTTTAAATCTCAATTTCATTAAAAAATATTAATGTTATAAAACTAAGTCGCAACTCCCGGCTTTTGCAAAACTGATCCTGTACGGTGTTAGCTTTTTAAATCTTTTTGCTGTTTTGCTCCCAAACGTTTTATATATGTCGAAGGTTCCTTTACTTGGTGAAGAGTAATAAAATAGAGGATCTATTATAAAGAATAAAAGACTTTTTTTGTTCTTCTCCTTTTCCCATACAGTACTGCCTCAATCTTCCTCAACTGCACAACACAGGTTTATTAAAACAATCTGGTTGAAGCTTGTCATATAGTTATTTTCCTCTCTTAATATTGGAGTCCTGTTAGTTGATATCAAATTCATAAAAGGGAATAACTTTCCAAAACTGAAATTGTGCCAGTATTTTCTGCTACACAATTTCCTGATTTGTACTATTTCTAGTCCCTGAGGCTTTCACACCTATTGATATGATTTATGTGTACAAAAACGAACATCTGGACCTTGTTCAGGCAAGATCGGGGCCAAAACGTAAGAGAAAATAATAATAAATAATGAAAGGGACAAGAAGGGCATGCATAGAACAGACAATCCAATCTATGAAGTGTTTGTCCATAACTGGAGACTTAGTGACAGTTTTATTTTATTCCTTACCCTCGTACTCTTTGTATTATGAAAACAGCCTTGATTTTTCTTATAAGTTGTTATTGGCTTTAAACTAGCTGTCAGTAACTGCGAGTACTTTCAGATCTGTTCTATTTGTATTTAGTTCGTTGTTTTTTTACATAAATCAGGCCGTTAGTTTTCTCGTTTGAATTATTTTACATTTGTAATTTCGGGGCCTTTTATAGCCAACTATATTGTATGGGTTTTGCTCATTGTTGAAGGCCGTACTGTGACCTATAGTCATTAACTTCTACGTCATTTGGTCTCGGGTGGATTGGTTTCTTATTGGCAATAATACCACATCTTCTCATTTTTATATTAACTACACTTTACCTATTAAAAAAAACTTGACATTTGAAATTAAGAATTAAAAAAACTTGTTTCAGAAAACTGTTGGTAAACGTTTACTTCGATAAATTCTTAAAAATGAACACGATACTACTATCTGACAAAAAATAACTGACGTTCCAAAATAAATCTGTTTTTTTTTTCTTTTCTTTTTAAACGCATTTATAACATGTATAAGATAAAAGACTTCAATTTTATCGTTACACTAGTTTAGTATGAACTATTGTTATTAATTGTGTCACTATTATAAAAACGACAAAACCATCTCTAATTAGAGAACACTAAAAAGAGAAAGGATTAGCTAAAAGGAATTTTAGATGCCCGGCTTTAAAAAAAAGTTGTATTAAAAATTGAATAAACAAATAATTAATCAATTTTGTATTTGTGAAAATGAATTTCATTTCGTCTTCCTACTGGAAATGATTGTCATCAGATTTCAAAGGACGTTTCATGTTATTACAAGTCTTCGATTTTTAGACTTGATCAGGTTGGCGCGTTTTTCTTATTGTTCGCTAGCTTGGTGTATCTTATTGTTTGCTGGCTTATTGTTCGCTAGCTTCAGTATGGTCAATTGAAGTCCAAATGGTCGAATGAGGTAAAAAAAAAACATACAAAACAACCCACAAGTGTCTTAGACGTTTATAGTCATTTAAGTAAAATGTAACTATCATAAATCTCATCAGTAGTTATTCCATTGAGCACAAAATTAATCCAAATTCGATTTCAATTACTTGGTGATTATCAATTACTTTTTTTTTGACAGAAATTATCATTATTTTTTTTTTATCTTGTATGACTTTGAAATACTGATTTAAGATTGTCCACAAAATATCATAAAATGTTCCCAGTTTATGGAATACAAAAAACGATTTCTATTTTCTTTTTACAAAGTTGTTAATTGATTAAATATGTTGTAATTTCTAGGTCAGTGGCGTATTCAGGGGGCGACAGAGCGTACGCTTCTCCTTTGATTGGAACATTTATAATTTTTAGCATAATTAAAATCATCAAATTTGTTTTATCCTCACTACACTCATCACTGTTTTATTCTTAATATATATATATATATATATATATATATATATATATATATATATATATATATATAAGCGTTGTCTATTTTTTATCTGACAAGCCCACACAGGGACTTTAGCGTTAGTATAGAAAGTCCCTGGCCTACAGTAGCAACAACACCCTTTTGATGACCAATTCATTATAAAAAAACTATGTGGACAGTGTTCAAGCATCGTCGCACACAGAGGTTTGTTTTGTAAGACAGCTGATTGGATAAATGTGATAGAATGTCGCGCCTACATTAAACTGATGTCCAATCAAATGCCTTAAGAAACCAGTCAATAAAAAAAATTACTGCAAGCGTGGATAAGTTAGAGATTGTGTTAGAAAGTTACTATTTTTTCAACATTAAATTGTCTTGTAACAACCCTCCACTTTTCCCGTTTTCGCCTTCTTATTTTTACACTTTCTTTTTAAACAGAAAAGTATAAAATATGACCGTAGTGCAAGTTTCTGAATTTGACAAGAATTCTATATAACGACGTGTGATTCCCGGGAAGGTCATATTTTCAAGATTTGACAGACCTTTGAAAAAAGTTAGATCATACAAGTTTAATCTACCATTTGCAGAAAAAAAACACCACCAAATTGTATTAGCAAATTGGAAAATATTTAGAATAGTTTTATGTCCGTACTAAAATTCTTCTGCAATTATTTGCAAAAGACGAAGAATGCTCCTTAAAACTGTAAATTATGAAAAGAAAGACTTAGGATAAAATACAAGTTTGTACTACCATCCAAGG